AAACATGATATAATATAAATTATATATATTACATGATCTAGTAATATCATAAATATGATGTAATTAATATCTACAATATCAAATTGTTTCAATGACATACAATGTTTTTTTACTGCAAAATCTAATATCATGTCATATTAAACGGAACATTTTTTCTTGGGTTGTTTGGATCTCCACAGATGCCATTGCAAAGAACAGGGCCACCACCGGGCGTTCACAGAATCGAGCGCACCGATGACGTCCGTCGTGTGGTGGCCTTGCTGTGAATATCGACGCCGCAGCTGCGAACCGGTCACTGTCGCAAGTTGCGTCGCAACTTTTGTGCGCCCTTCAACAAGAAGGAACCTTTACTTGCCACAATGGATGAAGTGTTTTTCGCTTACCTCTGGATTTTTTTGCGAACAATGTGCAAAAATCCATGGGGAAAACTGTTCAGAAAGTGATCTACATTCATGGTGGGTTTTCCACATCTTTGTGAACGTTTTCAGGAGGGTATCCCCGATTAAGGGATAGTAGGATATGCCTTCATTTTCGATTACAAGCTGGCATGAATGCAATGAAAGAAGGATTGGATGTTTATTGGATTATTGGGAAAGTTGACATACAACCCGCAAACATCCCCATACGCATGTATGTATACATATGTACATATGTTTATAATATATATATATATATATTTATATTTATACATCTATACTATACATATATATATATACATAATATATGTACATATATATATATATATATATAAAGGGTAAAGGTTTGAGGTTCCAAGGAAGTTGATTGCAACTGTCACGTTGCACTCAACTTGGCTGGCCCTGCCAACTGGCAGAGACGGCCATGGGATGAGCTATGAAACTTCTGCAACTAGTGAGGCCCCCCAGTGATGTTAGTTGGTTAACAAAACCCCCAGTAACTAGTTCGTTTTTTGCGTACCATAAACCATAGTGAAATTGGAGTTATGTGAACCCCAACTGAACGCTATCCAACGGAGGCCTCACATTGTGGTTATTATGACTAGTTGCGAACACCAGGTTATAGTGGTACTTACATGACTGGTTGGGTGATTATAGGTTACAATAGATGATTATAGATGATGATAGATGAGATGATTATAGACTGGTGGTTTGGAACATGAATGGATTGTTTTTCTGTTCAGTTGGGAATGTCATCATCCGAACTGACTCCATCATTTTCAGAGGGGTAGGTATACCACCACCAACCAGATAACTTAAATATCACTTCAATGGGGTTTTCTTCGCCAGTGACTGTGAAACGGGCCATTTCAACAATGTTTCAACCATCTGCACACCACAACGTACATGAAACCTCCAAGGATGAAGCAACATCGAAAAAACCGAGCAACTACGACTTCATGACGCGAGTCGCACACGTTAAGAAATAATGTTAATAAGGCCATAGTAAACTAGTACCCTCTGGTAAACTAACATAGCTATGGAAAATCACTATTTTTAATGGGTAAATCCACTATAAATGATAAACCATCCCCCATTTTACCATAAATGGATGGTATTAACTGTTAACCATTCAAATTTCTGGTTGGTTTATGGCATTGCTTTACCAACATGGACCGCCCCCACCACCCTCCAGACCCCCCACTCTCCCAGCGGCGCAAGAGACGAACACAAGGTGATTCTTCAGAATCTTCACCAATGGGTTTCTCTGAAAGTCGTGTCCCAAATTTGATGGTCTATAAACATTGTTTCAAATTTTTGTTCTCCTTTGTCTAATAAACTTTTGTTTTTTACATTGAAAATTCATCTTACCCAAAATAATCCTTTTTTCAACTGTTTGTTCTCAACTTCTGTAAATGGGGGTAAAACTGTAAAATCATGTCGACCCCCCCGTTTTCAGACATTCAAATATCATTTTTTGTATATATATATATTTAACTATGAATAATTATGAATGTATAGTAAGAACATATTTCCGAATAGCTTCAGTGGCCCCATATCTGAGCTTATATATAAGTTATCATCCCATGGTATTTGACAAAATTCTCAGGACCCCTCCAGTCCTGCATCAGCAAGAGGTACCTTATCCAAAATCAAACGCGTGATTCTTGCTGATCGCTCTTGGGTTTTGGGGTACCTTTTTTTTGAGAAACGACTAAATACCCATCTATAAATGTGATGTATGAAATGATGATATAAATAGAAATACACACACACATATATATATATATTATGTAATGTAGTACATACGCACGAATAGACATGTGCAGGCATACATCTGTATTTTGCTGGCCATTTCAAGCATTTTGAATAAATACTTTTTCACCGGGACGTGGATCCAAGTCAATGCATTTTTTGGGGGATGGACTGAAGCTTCCAATCTTGTATGTATACGAGTACAACAATATATTGTATACAGGAGAGTCTTATATGACCAGGTCTAAATAGGTCTAATATTAAGTTGAATGCAATAGAATTCTGTAACATCATCAATATAGATACACAACCATTATTTGGATATTGGTACTTTCCAATGCAGCAAATTGCCGAACTCTTCGATACGTGACGTGGCAAATCAAGGAATTCACCTGTTCGGACAGTCGTTTAAAGGCAAGCCGGCAAGCCCCTCATCGGGTATGTCCGAACATGGATGAAACTCAACTGTTTTTTTTCAAACTTTACTTGGTTTTATTGAACACTTTCAAGGTTTCCGCCAAAGTGAGTTGGACACATGACAGCTGTGGGAGGGAGACAGTGAAACCAGTGCCCGACAGCATTGGTTGAATGGATAAGAGTTATATGAATTTGTTATATAGATATGTATTTAGATATGTATAAAGATATAGACATTAGATATAGACATTAGATATAGACATTAGATATAGATACTGATACATCTAGATGATTAAAAATTAATGACCTCACGTCGTGACGTCGTTTATGATTAAACATCCCCGTAAATTGGCGAAGATTTCAGCAATTGTTGATCAGTGAACTCTTCAAATCCACTGCCTGTGATTGGTCGACATGAAACGTCGATGTCGATGTCGATAGTTTTATCTTCCTCTCTTAAGTAATTCTTGGAGAGCAACATATTTCTTCCTTTATTGATATTATTGGATATATGGATATATATTCACATTTATTAATGTATATGGATATATTGATATGGTGAGGTTTTGATATATTGATTATACTGATATGTTGATATGTCGATATATTGATATTTATATATATATATACGTAGTGATACATTGATGTTTTTGATCCCCGAACCAATCATCAAGCCTCCCAGGGTTCTTGCGTAGCGTAGCAGCCACTCGTGGAGCCTTTTTGCACCCATTGTACTTTGACCTCCTGCGCCGAAAGAAACGGACAGTGTGCTTGAAGCAATTGAGCAGTTATATCTATATAAAACTGGTTGATGGTTTGGAACATGAATTTTATGACTTTCCATTCAGTTGGGAATGTCATCATCCCAACTGACTTTCATATTTTTCAGAGGGGTAGGTATACCACCAACCAGATATAATGTCAACCCCGGATTAATAAATCATAGTTGATTAATTAGGCGCTGTACCCTCCAAATAGTCATAATATGGTACTTACTCGCTACAACCCCAATGAAAAAACCTAGGGGTTTATTAATCCAGGGTTGACATTAAATATAATAACAAAACATATATAACATATATAACATATATATATACATACACCTATAATAACACAAAAGGGTTAATAACAAAAAATATTATAACTATATATATATAATTACTATGATAACAAAAAGGGGTTATAACATGTGGTGACAACCACCAACAAATCCCCAGTTCTCACCAGTTGAGCAGTTTGTTCAAAACCCCTGGTTGGTTGCTGATTAGTTCGGGGATTATTGTACTACTCAATATTTTGGTGGATTATACCATGTGGTAAACTAACATAGCGATGGAAAATCACCATTTTTAATGGGTAAATCAACTATTTCTATGGCCATTTTCAATAGCTATGTTAATTTACCAGAGGGTAAACATCTAAGAACAGGGAGTCCCTGTAAACCAAACACTTTGATTGAAAGATCGAGGGATTTAGATTTTGAACACTGCTCAAGTCAAGTGTCGACCGGGGAAGATCATCAACTATTTAAGACTCAAGGGGCCACGGATTTTCGTATATTTTTAGCTGGTTGGTGGTTTGGAACATTTTTTATTTTTCCATATATTGGGAATAATCATCCCAACTGACTTTCATATGTTTCAGAGGGGTAGGTATACCACCAACCAGTTAGTATCAACCATCGAGTTTTGGGGGTACCCAATTTTGACCCATAGCCATGTTGATGAATATGAATTTAGGGTACAATGTGAGGCCCCCAAGATAGCTAAGTTGGTTTATAACTCCAATAACTATGGTTTATGGTACTTATAACTATAGTTACTGGGGCTTATAAACCAACTTATAACTGGGGGGCCTCACATTGTATGTATGTATTTATGAAATATGAATAAGCTACATCACTCATAAATATTAGATAATTTTCCTGTGACGATGATAGATAGTCAACAAAAAAAAACATGATCAGAGGTTTCGCCTAATATGAACATGAACATAGGAATCATCGAAAAAAAATACACATTTTCCCATAGAAATCCCATAGCTGGTTGGTGGTTTGGAACCATTGAATTTTATGACTTTCCATTCAGTTGGGAATGTCATCCTCCCAACTGACTTTCACTCCATCATTTTTAAGAGGGGTAGGGCTCAACCACCAACCAGATTAAATCAGCTAAAGTTTAGTACTATCAATGGGGATATAATCAGCCTTAAAGCCTAATTTCCCATACAATGTGAGGCCCCCCAGTGATGTTAGTTGGTTTATAAGCCCCAGTAACTATAGTTATTTGCGTACCATAAACCATAGTTATTGGACTTATGTTCACCAACTTAGCTATCGAACGGGGGCCTCACATGGTAGAAATCCCATAGATTTTCGTCCACATCCACCTCGTCCAACTCGTCGGCTCCAAGGCCATCGGTGTTTTGATCGGCTTTGCCTGGGAGCGCTGTTTCGATGTGGCCGTGGACGAAACGGCTGAGAGGGAGCCAGCCGGGGATGGGGGCCCTTTCCGGCGCCGGCGGCTGAAGGTTGGAAAAATGGGTTCTTTGCTTACTTGACTGATGATACTGATGTTTTTTTTGTCTAGTTGTATGTTTTAGTCGGACATATCTTGATTTTAAGTCGTTTTTTTAAATTGAAATTATTGTGGTGTTCATTTTTTCCCATGTGATTTTAGTCTTTCGTTTGACTTATTTTTTGGCAAGTCAACTATTTTAGAAGAAATTTGATGGATCTTAGAGGATTATGTTCTTTGTGTAGAGGGATTTCCTGTCGTGAAACCAATAATAAACCACCTCAATGAACAACCATTGCGGGGTCACGAAAACATCATCTCAAGTATTGGGTATATCCACGAATACCCTCTGGTAAACTACCATAGCTATTGAAAATGGCCATAGAAACCGTTGATTTATCCACTAAAAGCGGTGGATCTTTCCATAGTTTTTTTGTTAACGTTTACCAGAGGGTAATCCCAATCAGGCATATTGATATTATTGAGTTACATAAGCATGTTTGAATTAGTTTTTCTGCGTACAGATGCCCGCAACCAGGCCAATACTAGTCGTCAAAAAACGATGTGCATTTCTACATAGAAACACCTATTTTTTTAATAACATATTAGTCATATTAAATACATATGTTTCACATATATATATATATATCCTCGCCATGAAGTCACCATGACGGTTGGCAAGGGAGAATGCTCCCACCAAAAAAATAGATTGGTGAATGCTGTGACGAAAATATTTGCTATGTGGCTATGTGCATATTTAGATATAGCAGTCCCGAACTGGAAATGTTCAGAGTGACATCGTCTATGACATCTCGGAAAACAGTTTCTAATTTTGGACCTCTCTCTCTAGATATGCGTACACGTACACGTACACACACACACGTACACAGACACACATATATATATACATATTATGTACACATCTACAGTGAATCTATAGTTACAGGTATGCATATACACATACAGGTATGCATATACACATATACACATAAACAAATATATTTGTACTCATAGATGAATCTATACACATAAATGTATGCGCATATACACATAACCATTATGTACATATATGCAGATGTGCATATCTCTGGAATCAGATACGGACATGGCGTTTTCACCCCAGGAATCGTTGGACCAACTGGGCTTAAAAACCACGTCTGAAGTCGGGTAAACCACATGAAACACCAAGCATCCTCAATACACCATGAGTTTCACTGTGAAATTGCCATATCCGAGGAGGTATTTTGCCGGTTTTCAGACACAGCCATATATGGGTATGGATCAATACCTATTAATACCATTTTTAGGGGGATGAACATCCATTTACCAGCTATTTTGATGTTCACCAGGGGTACAAGGTTTTGACACACTGCCATATCATATCAAGTTGGTGAGCAAGTTCCATTTGATCCCATGAAAGGTCCCCAGCTGCGAAGTCCTGAGTGCTACTGTGATAACACCATCCAACCGGTGTTGGCAGGTTTATGGCAGCCAGGGTTTCTCACATTATTCCAATGTTCCATTCTTCATCCATTATTGTTGGTTATACCACCATTATTTACCACTATTGCATACTATTGCCCATCATTGGCCATGATGAATTACTAATTGAAACTATTGCCCTTTATTGTCATTATGAAAACCATGAAAAACTCATCACCGTGTGGTATTTACCATTCATTACTAACCACCGTGTGGTTACCCAAATGACCTGGAAACGTTTTTCCTTCCAACCTTGGCCATGGCCGAAGTAACCATTAACCAGGAGGCATCGGAGGGCATTCTGCCCCCTTCCCTTGTTCCTTGTCGTTGAGTCATCGAGTCTCGGGATGTTGTAAACGCAGCGACCCTGCCAAAAGTTGGGCTGAGATGGGGGTTGGAAGTTTTTTTCGAAAACACTTCAAATTGGCGATAGGGTCGAACTTTGAAAAATAACCAGATGGTATATCTCAATAGATTGGTTTAAGGGAAAATCTACAGGAAACCATAGATTTTCCCATTAAATGTAGGCCTTTCCTGTAAATTTTCCCTTAAACCACTCCATTGAATATCCCCTTGTTATATATGTTCTTGGTTCTATTTCCCCATCGTTCACCAAGTCAGTCACCTTCTATGGCCAAGTGGGTATTCTTAAGCCCCGGGACATTGTGGCCTGGATCCCTTTGGGAAACTCCTTCGGTGAGTCCTTCGGTGATCGGAAGCGTTTTTGGATTGTGAATTGCCTGGCCCCTTGAAAAAATCAGATAAGAAATGTTCTTCTTGGGGGGAGGACGGGGGGCATATAATTGTTTTTCCGCAGATTGGTGAAACCCAGACAATTCTTTGTGAAATTCCCGTTTGCTTCAGTCTACTCCCAAAATACAGTATTCATTGACAAAACCGCCTGTCAGTTGTAGTTTCCTTCAACCAATTCTACGAGTGCGTCATCCCACTGGTTCCTTGAGAGTGAGCCTTGTTGTATTCATATTATCATCAATCGTACCTTCCATGAAAATATTGAATCTAGACAGCCATATGGTGCCCATTCCCATAGAATGTGTTTCTTTGGGGGGATGGCATTGAAACCATTCAGATCCGGTATTTCTTTGGGTCATATATGGTCATATCATATTATATACCTCATTTTGGGGACTTACGGTAGGTGTAAAGGCCGGTGCTGCTTGATCAGGGTGCTCCAGCTGGTCTTCGGCCTTTTACCTGTAAATTTCTGCATAAAAGGGCTCTTGTGAAATGTCCAATTGCATTTCGACTGCGTAGGCTCGCACAAAGTCTGCGGCGCAAGTTTTCCTTGATCTTGGGGCGCCGCATTTTTCCGGTACATTCTCTCATAAAAATTGCTTTTGTGAGATGTCCATGTGTATTTCGACTGCGCAGGCTCGCAAAAAACGGTTGTCCCGGTCCTGGGGCGCGGCATTTTTCCTTCAAATTCCTGCATAAAACTGCTCTTGTGATATGTCCCTGTGCATTTCAACTGCGCAGGCTCGCATAAAGTGAAGGGCCTTGCATGAAGATCTTGCAGATGTCTTAGAGGTGCTTGTATGAAAGCTGTTCTGGGAGGCTTTTCGGAGCTTCTTGTAGTCCTTTTATGATGGACTCGTGAGATTCTCTTGGGGGTCCTGGCATGAAGATCTTGGTCAAGGTCTTTGAAGATCTTGTGGAGATCCTCGTGACATGCTGCCAGGGGCCTTGGCATGATCTTGCACGGGTCCTTGTGAGAAGCTCTTGAAGAGGCCCTGGTTCAAGAGGTCCTTGCATTCAGGTCTTGAAGATGCTCTGCAGTGGTGCTTGTATGAAAGTTCTCCTGGGATGCTCATAGGAAGTTCTTGTATGAAGCTCTTGTGAGATCCTCTACATAGATCTATGTGAGGTCCTGCTGCTGCAGTTGAGATAATGTCTAACTCATTTGTTACTGTTCCGCGGCTACCGTTTCTTGCATTTGGTACATTGACTTACTACCACCTACACTGTTTGGGGTCTCTTGCCGGTGTAATTTTTGTGTTCGGTGAAACCTTGGATGGGGAAGTTTACAGAACTGAATCTTTCGCCACTTTGAAGCCGATACGTGTATTAATCTAACAGCACTAGCCAGCAGAAAAAATGCAAGGTATCATCCAAGATTGGCGGAGTACATTTAATGATACTTTCCATGTGCGGAGGTTATATCCGTCGGTTTTGTTGATGAACAACCTATTTTGATTGCTTAACTCACATTTTTCTGCCGGTTAAGACACCATGTTTTGAACACAAATCATCATTTTGATGGTTTCAATCTCAATTTCTTGCGTTTTCACCACGTTTCCACGTACGTTTTCGTTGGGTTTACCACGTGGTTTGTTCTCGCGGTTCCCAGGTCAAGGTCGTTCTTGCCCTGATGTTAGCTTGGAACTCAAACCGTTGTGGGTGAGACCAAAAACAGGACCTCCAAAACGGGGATTTAACAGGCGCACACCTGGCCTACAAAACCCGAAAGCAATGCCAGATTATCCGATTATCCAACATCCCGCAGCCTGCTTAGTAATTTTTGTCTTACGAAACTTTGGGAAGCCGGTCGGTGGTTGACGGGTGATCCGTACAATGATGTGCCCATGGCGTTCAAATCTGAGGAATCAAGCATTACCCGTTGGACAACGCCGGGCGGGTGCAAGGCCCTCCAAGCTTACCGCAGGGGCGAGAGCATGGAGAAGAAGGCTCTTGATGAAGCTCGCAGCCTGGATCGGCTTTTGCAAGGTGAGGTGAGAGGCCTCGAGGTTTGGAAGAGCACAGGGATGTTGTACCGGGGGATGGAGCAATGGCCGTGTGGTCAGTTCGAGCCGCACTTTGCCTGCATCCATTGCTGAATGTTCCCGGATTCAGTCACCATGTCAGAGCCATTTTATAGCGGATCAGATTGGCATGGGTTACCTAAGACTCCTTGATATATGTTCACCTTCTACTAATTCTGTTGGTTAGTTGCTGGAGGTTTAGACATGTCGGATGAACCACTGATCGCGAAAAACCGCTAAATCAGCGGCTGCGATCTACTCCTGTTGGTTGATGAGTTCGGGGATTACACCAGTCAAATACATTTGGGATTATCAGAACCCATGATGGGAATCCTGATCTCTTAACCAAGCAGTACAATATAGTGAAATGAGAAACATCGGCTTTTGAACACTGCTCAAATGGGATAAACCCATTATAGTCTTGTCTATGGGGAAAAACATTCCTTGTAGGAACACTCTTTTTTGATTTTTTTCCATGTCAGTAGTAACCCAGAGCTCTTTTTTACGATCGAGGACTTTATCACCATGGGAACTTACAGTTTGATGGGATTCAAAAACCTCGCGGCAACGGATAACCCACTTTGTTTTTCGGGGGTCCCGCATTGAAGTTTCATTTGCTGTAAATGGAAATGAAAACAGGGCAACTTTTTCTCTCAGGGTATCCTTGACGGTCTTCAGGTTTTCTTCAATGTTTAGATCTTTAAACAATTTCTTTCTATTTCAAGGATATTTATATACATTATTTTACAATACTCACCAATTTGGAGTTTTTTGTTCAATTATAGGGTATATCTGGTATCTATTATCTATCTACTAGTTATCTGCTATCTATCTACTATTAGTAATTTATTAGTATACAGTATAGTGGATAACTATAATAATGGATAACACTATAGTAATCACTAGTAGGAACCATCTATAGTAATCTACCACTAGTTATCTATTAGTTATCTCCCACCACAAATGGAATATCTACCAACATTTACCCCCAAAATCACCCAGTTTTGTAGGTAAATATACCAGCACCATGGAGCATCTGGGTATATCTACTATTAGTAATCTGTTATTGGTATAGGGTATATCAGGTATCTACTATATATATATATATATCTATCTACTATATATCTACTATATATCTACTATATATCTATATATATCTACTATATATATATATATCTGCTATATATCTACTATATATCTACTATATATCCACTATATATCTATATACTATAAAGAAAATATCTATATACTATATAATATATCTATATACTATATAATATATCTATATACTATATAATATATCTATATACTTTATATCTACTACATATCTACTATATATATATATATCTACTATATATCTACTATACACCTACTCTATACCTATATACTATATATCTACTATATATCTACTGTATATCTACTGTATATCTACTGTATATCTACTATATATCTACTATATATATATATATACTATATATCTACTATATATCTACTATATATCTACTATATATCTACTACTAGTAATCTCTTGGTGGGGTTTTCTTGCCCCATAAATGGATCAGGCGCCTGACCTGAGGCCACTCTGGTGGTCCCTGCCTGGAGGTGGTATATCCTGCCCGTCAGCTGAGCTCAGCTCAAGGGGCGCAGTTGTCGCGGAGAGAAGTCCTTGGGAAAAATCCATGTGCAATTTTTTCGTTTGGGATGAAATATGATATACTTCCATGATCTTCCCAATGGTTTCATGCTTAAATCATGATAAATCATGATACATCCCAACCAAATGGTGAGTTGATTACATATATAGTTAGATCTGGTTAATGCTTTGGAACATGATTTTTATTTTCCCCAATAGTTGGGATGATGATCCAATCTGACTTTCATATTTTCAGGGGGGTTGAAACCACCAACTAGTATAGAAGATGTAGGTATACATACATATATATATATATACATACACAGTATACTGTATGTGTATATATATATATATATATATGTGTGTGTGTGTCTATATGGTACAACTATGGTTGATCGCGCTGAGAATTTCCTAGCCATGGTAGGTGGAGATATTCTGTACAACGTGGGTAAAGCAATAATAAACCACCCATTTGGGAATGGTAACCATAGCACCTATTTATGGAATTTATGTAATTATAGATGTGTCAAAATCCTACAAAATTATCATATTTGGGGGAATAAACATCCATATTTCCAGCTATTTTAGGGTACCTAGGGTAGCAGGGTTTTGACCCCCAAAACAATATCAATATGGGGGTTTCCATAAATCGGGTACCCGGTACCCATTCCTTAGATGGTCTATAAGTCTATAAGGGAAAAGCAGAACATCCCACGAATATGGATGATTTGGGGGTAGCCGGGGTAGCCCTATTTTAGAACCCGCCATGATCAAATCTAGTCCAAAGTGTTGAAATCTGTTTGATGACCAGAGGCTAGCTCGATTTTTTTCAGAGCTTGGGCTTCAGTACAAAGCTAAAATGATGAAACTGAAATTTGCGATCTTTGCTTCCAAGCGATCCATCACAAAGACATTCATACAGGAGCGGCTTGTGCCCTCAGGGGGAACCCTCAGCCCCATGCCTGATTTTCTCAAGCAATTTGCTTGGTGATCTTGGTGGCTCATCTCAGTAAGTGGGTTAGTTCACCCCAGTGGATTAGCCCTACCAAAAACCCACTGAAAAAATGGGGGTGATATCCCACCCAGTTACAGTCGTGGGACGGACCACCGGAGGGTGACCTGGGATGGTGGCAATGAATTGGCTGACCTGGATGACCCGTCCCAACATTGACTAACCATTTGGCCTGCCCAAAATCGAACATGGAACCCCTGTGGATGACGATATGATGACAATATCCACCAGGAAATCTTCATCTTCCAGACCTGGGGGATCCATCACCGGGCGCTTCCCTGACAGAATTCAGTGCCAGGCTAGAGGCTAGGCCACAAAAATATGCCAGTTTTGTAGAGATGAACATCCACCATGATGATATAGGTAAAACTGATACTGAGGATGATGAGGTATAGGATGGATGATGATATTAAGGAGGATGAGCAATTTTGAAGTGAACACATACAGTATCCAGCGGTTATTTGGAGGGAACAATTAGGAGATGTGGGTAGCCATATTCCCAACAACGGGGAGCCAGTTGGAGCTACGAATTGAAAAACTCACTTCAGAAACCGTGATACTTCGAGCGGGCTTTGATCCATTGTTGCTACAGATCTACATTGCCCGCAATTCCTCGAGGTTGTTAGAGAACTGGGAGGTTTTGAGGAGGGAGAAGAGGAAGATGAGGACTTTGAGGGGCGTGGCGTACATTGGCGTACCCTACCCTCCGATCATGTTCCCGGAAAGGGAAATCCACTAGGGAATCTACAGGGAATAATTTTTGATTGGGGGTTACTTCAGCAAATCAACGATAATCAAACATTCCACGTTTTTTTCCAAGACAGCATCCATTTAGTTTAGGGAATTTCCCAGCTAGCCATGTTCGAGTACCGCAGCATAGCTGCTAGTTTTCAATTATGCTTGGTTCTCTATCCCATTAAATCCCATTAAATTTGCCACTCCCAAGTCGGTTTGGTCAGTCCGATCAGTCCCCAAAAAGACCAAAAAACACGCTGCCTGTTGCGGAGATTGGAGCAGTTTCAAAGCATTGAATCGAACGCTTGGTGGCTTCACCCCATCTATCAGCCACTATCTATCAGCCACCAAGTAGGTAATCAGCTAATTATCCTTACTATCAAGTGGATTACCATTGATAACAGGTGGGTTGGTTCACCCCATCAGTGGATTACCCCTACCAAAAACCCAATGAACAAAACTGGGGTGATCCGTTTCGAGGTGAAGCCGGTGAGTTCTGTTGCTAAACCCGTGAAAACCAGAGATATAGTCCCAATAAACCAGAATAAACACTTGTTTTTCCAAGATTTAAGTCAATTTAGCTATCATTAAAAGGATACCATAGGATAAATCAAATCTCAGTCTTAATCCCCATGAACTTGTCTTGTTATATGACTATTTTCGTCAAAAACCTGATAGCCTTATGGCCTGTAGCCCAAGTCATGTCATAGCTGGTTCCGTTTGTCATATGGTAATACCCGTTGGGAAACGTTTACATAACTCTGGAAGTCATCTTTTGATCACCATTTTCCCTAGCGAAATCACCATTTCTATCCATTTCTATGGGTTATGCCCCCCACTTCCGGAACTTGATAGGCAGATCAACGAACTAAATGGTCCATGGCTTCAATACCAGACTGTTTAATGACCAGAGGCTATTGGGTTTTGAGCCTTCCTCCTCACAGGAGACAGGCGGCGCAAAGGAGGTCGGTCTCCGGGGGCTTGCATTTCGTGGCATGGCCAGTGTTTCTCCGTATCTTGGATAATGGTGGGAGGAGAAACCATAAGAATGGTGCGGTTGATGCGAGGTTAAAGGTATATCATATACTGGTTGGTGGTTTGGAACCATGGAATTTTATGACTTTCCATATCTTGTGAATTTCATCATCCCAACTGACGAAGTCCATCATTTTTCAGAGGGGTAGGGCTCAACCACCAACCAGTATATCGAATAATCATGAGTAAATCACAGGGTTGCTCCAACCCATTGAGAAATGATAGCCACAACGGGGTCAAATGAGTCATTTTACCGCTACCCTCTGGTTGTTTAACATGGCCAATGGCATATTTATAGATGGTTTACCTATTAGAAATGGTGATTTTCCATGGCTATGTTAAATAACCAGATGGTATATCTAGCAAATTTACCACCCTTGTACCTGAGGTGTTGGGAGCCACCCTGCTTTTCAGGACATGTTCCAAAGAAATCTCAACTTTTCAGAAGTATCAGAGGTTTTTTGGATCATTTGTGGACGTTGTTTCCGTGGATCACACACACACACGGCTTTTACACTAAAAAATGTGAGATCCCATTTCTTCTTGGAGA